ACACCTTACACAAAACAGATGCAAGTGGCAATCATGGACACAAAGTGAAAAATTCTTCAAGATAATGGTAACACAGAAGGCATAACTATGAATTACCAGTGGTTATTTTTAAAATACATACATATTAATATTTCTTAATATTTCAAATCAAGGCGGGGGGAGAGGAGGGGACTTTACTGTCAACCAGACTCATTCATTAAGTGAATGCTTAATGCTATTCTATTCTGCCAAGTGACTAAACGTGCCCTCTTGGGGCTTCACAATTAGTCTTTCAATGAGATACTTAAAAAAAATTGTGCACATTTTAAACAATATGATATTTCACAAGTTTTCAAACTCAGCAGATCTAAAACTCTCAACTGTTTTTCCTTCTCATGCATCATCACCAGGAACAATGCAGACCTCCCTGTGGGCACACAGCAACTTCAGTAAAACTGCTGCAGAGCAGTGACTACCGAGGGGAAAGGAAAAACAAAACAAAAATTTTAATTTATTCTGACTCCTGTAGAGACAACACAGTTAACATTGGTTAAAAAGCAACAGCAGATAAAAACAAACAAGCAAACCCCACCAGATACAATTTTAACCACATGTACAGAAGTGTTGAGTAAGAAGAGCCTGTTCTTACACCACCTGCCAGGTAGCCTGTTAGAAAGAGTCGAGCAAAGAGGAAATAGTTTATACAGTGGTAGAGGGAGGGAGGGAGAGAGGGAGATAAAACTGCTTATTTACTGAAAACATTTACTTGAATCACCATACATCCAGGAAATCAGCAACAGAACTTGAAGGTAAGTTATTTGGGATAAAACAACGTATGTAGGTACTATATAATCACTTCTAAAAGTAAGAAAGCAGACAAACAACTGTAAGGGACAAGCAGAGAGCTAAAAGTCCTTGAGAGTTAAAAAAAAAAATTATTTAATGTCTTAATTTTGTATTCATTGAGAATTGTTTCTCAGACTCTATTTTCCATCTTGATACTCCTGTTGAAATTACTCTGCTATATAAACTATTTTTGCACTATCTTATAAAACTACAGGTTTTAGAATTGTATTTTTAAGAAGCAATCATACCATTCCTATAAAAAAAGGGAAAATATTCTTCAATTGAGACTATGAACTGCAACGTTAATTCTTGTTGGCATATGCATCTATTGATCTTGGAAGACAGTGGAAGCAAAGAAAGCTTTCTCCTCAGTACTGAGGGAATCAACCACACTAGTTAACATTTTTTTAAGCTAATGAAGACAGTCTGAAAAAAATGCAACTAAAGATAAAATCATGGCAACTGCAGGATCAGAGAGACGTGAACGGCCAACAGGAAAGAAAGAAACAGTTACCTTAGAAATACAGATGTATTTTATTTACTGAATCTTTAATCAATTAATGTGAACATGAAATAACTAACAAAAGCATTTTATTTGAATTAATGTATGGATAAAATGTGGAGTTCAGTTGCTACAGATGACTAATGTAATTTGTTCTACCCTAAACTAAACCTGAGCTCCTATTTCTTTTTTCACTTGCAAAGGCAGGTGATACAACATTCTGACAGAAGCTCGTCAAGAAATGCTGATTCAAGAAAATCACACTATTTTAAAGAAATGCAGCAGTTCTGCTGACACTTTAATATATTTGTTTTTATTATTTTTTGGAATGTTGAAAGATTTTTCCTTTGTTTGTCCGAAAAGGACCTGGGGGTGTTGGTCAACAGCCAGCTGAACATGAGCCGGCAGTGTGCCCAGGCGGCCAAGAAGGCCAATGGCATCCTGGCCTGTATCAGAAACAGCATGGCCAGGAGTAGGGAAGGGATTGTGCCCCTGTACTCGACACTGGTGAGGCCACACCTTCAATACTGTGTTCAGTTTTGGGCCCCTCACTACAAGAAGGACGTTGAGGTGTTAGAGCGTGTCCAGAGAAGGGCAACGAGGCTGGTGAGGGGTCTGGAGAACAAGTCTTATGAGGAGCGGCTGAGGGAACTGGGGTTGTTTAGCCTGGAGAAAAGGAGGCTGAGGGGAGACCTCATCGCTCTCTACAACTACCTGAAAGGAGGCTGTAGCGAGGTGGGTGTCGGTCTCTTCTCCCAAGTAACTGGCGATAGGATGAGAGGAAATGGCCTTAAGTTGCGCCAGGGGAGGTTTAGATTGGACATGAGGAAAAATGTCTTTACTGAAAGAGTGGTTAAACATTGGAACAGGCTGGCCCGGGGAGGGGTTGAGGCACCATCCCTGGAAGTATTTAAAAGACGTGTAGATGTGGCACTGAGGGACATGGTTTAGTGGGCATGGTGGTGTTGGGTTGATGGTTGGACTCGATGATCTTAGAGGTCTTTTCCAACCTTAATGATTCTATGATTCTAAGATTTTGTTTTGATCAGGACAAGTGTTTTGTTGAAACATCATCATTTCAATTTATAATAGAGATGTTCTGACTTCACTATCAGAGACTATTTTGCCTTCAAAATGAAGCTTCAATAGAGTATTTTAACTGAATCCAAAATACTTCAACTTGTGAAGAATATTTTCATTCCAACTGAAGCTAAAACTATTTTTTGATATCCTAGAATCATTCTTAGAATGGAATTTCTACTTTTGTACTGAATCTATTTATAATAATGTTTTCACTGTTAATTGTTCTACTGTTCCCTGTTTGTAACACCTACTGAAGGCACACTCAGCAACAGTGTAATTATAAATATTACTGACTAAATAATTTGAATAATAGAAATTAAGAAGATACCAGTCACTTTAGTACAAATTTCTTAAATATTGCATAACAAAGAGGCAAATTCACAAATAATTCTTTAGGCTACAATCCTGTAAATATCTGTACATTTGTTTAACTTTACAGACAAGTTGTCTTCCCACATATCAATGAGTGTTTGTAGGATATGATATTTAAATACATAAGTATTCTGTGCGATCCTTTACTTCCCCCCCCCCTATTTTTCCCCTTTTTCCATGAGGTAATTCACGTCTTTTCCTGTTATTTATACAGCAGAATACAACACGAAACTGATTTACTAAATTAATCTATTCACAAGTTTAACATCAAGAGGAAGCCATCAATGGTAAACATAGCTCAGAAGTAACACTTCCTAGTTAACCTGTGCACCCTCTGCTGGCTGGTGCTTACATAGGAAGAAGAAAAAAAAAAAAAAAAGCTGTGTTGACTTTATGTATATATATACATGCACAGTGAACATACATCTAAGTCTCCAAATATATCTTTCAATCACTTAAATTGTTTTTCAACCCTATCTTCTACAAAATACTGAACATGTAACTGTATTGCCCAACAAAAGATGATTTGTCTCAACACAAACCATGTTTTTCTTTTATTAAAGATGCTAAGAACAGAGAGAGAGCAACATGAATTTTACTACTATCTATAATTTACAGTGAAGAACCTTGTTCGTTTACATCCCTGCAAGACTCTGGATGTCCACATGGACTTTGCTTAGGTGCAACTTGTCCTGTCAGCTCTGAAGTCACTGGCAATGTTGTAGATCCTGCTCTTCAGAGGAGCAACTGCAAGCACCGTGTTAGTGTGTTTAGCTCACTTCATCTAAATAACTGCAAAGCACCAGAAAATCACAGGAATCTGTCTTTTGTTAGAGTATCAGCAAAGATTAAAGGTTCCACTCAGAGATCCTGAAGAACAGACAGTGAAACACATAAAAGGTCATCAGCTTCCACATTACCCCATTTGGGCGCCTGGCCTCTGGCAAGGAAAGGACAGGAGTTTTTCCACAGACTTCAGTTGCTCTGCTGCCAAGTAGCTGTTGATGATAGTGACAACTTTTGGGACGTAGCTCTAAAAATACAAAAATGAAGTGTCGTAAATCTCAAGAAGTTGCCGTTGACCCTGGAGTTTTAAACAAATTCTTTACAATCCTCCCCC